GCACATATGCTAGCAAGCAGGAGAACTTTTCTCCTGCTACTTGACTGTCGATCAATCCTCAACCTATGCATTCAGTACAACTCAGCATGCAGAGAACTGAAAGGTGAAGTGGGGACCATTTTTGTTTAGATAACAAAAAAAACAAAAAACTATACACTTAGCAAGGGGTCTGAATATTTATGCCAGTGTGATATTTCAGTTTTTTGCTTTGTCATTATGGGGTATTGAGTGTGGGTACAAACAGTTGTAGCATAAGACTGCGGCATAAATTGGAATAAAAATGATAGGGCCTGAATACTTTCTTAATGCGCTGTATATCTTTTTTTTTTTTTTTATGTGCTGTATATCTTAATTTTACCATGACGTATAGCAATTCCAAATGGTCTTTAGCAGATGAATGGAATTCTGCCTAGTGAAACAAATCACTTTTTTTATTTTTTTATTTTAGGATAAACTGCAGAGACAATTTAGCAAAACAACCATATTCAAGCTGCTGACAGATTGCTTTTCCCGTTCTGATTGGAGCAGATGGGAGCTGAAGGCCCCCAAACCAGGAAGTGTAACAGTACATCTCGGAACATAAAAGGGAAAGAAACATATTGAAATTCAACAGTGAATATATGTTCAATTTGAAACAAGCGAGACACAAGCCAATATTGTTCTATAAGAGAGGTGTGTGTGTGTGTATATATATATATATATATATATATATATATATATATATATATATATATATAAAACCAAACCACCCAGAAAGCCTGTGTGTGATAATACAAGCCCTTCCTGTTGGTTAACTAAAAACATACAGGGCCTTACAGAAATTGATATGGGTGGGGGGGGGGAGGAAAGGAAAAAAAAAAAAAAAAAAGGACAACCCAAAAACACAGAATTAGTAACTCTGCTAACCTGGCCGAGTCCAGGCATGCCTCCTCCAAGCCTTAGAAGTCTGTCCATATTCCTGGAAGAAAGAATAAAATGTTGGAATGATAAGTACATTATATTATGGAATATCAACCTTCAATCATTCAGTATGCCAAAAAATTGTGGTGGTAATTACAACACAACATCAATCTTCCTGTTAATTAACACCACATATTAATTCAAGAAGCTGTCTCCTGAACTAATTAACAAACCTTATTTGCTTCTTTAGGTTTTGGTTATCCTAAACCACAACAACAATTAAAATAAATTTTAACAATTTTTTTTAACCCACAGGTATTTAATTCTTGGCAAACATGCCACGGATTTAGATACCTAAATCTTTTATGTAATCTACAAATGATTACCTTCACCATGCACAAATATAAGCCCTCTTAAAATGCACCTACAATAGGAAAGTAACATGTTACATGCTCATTAGAATATCATTCACTAATTAACTTGCAGCTTGTCAGTTATCATCAAAACTACAACTGAATGATTATACAAGAACTCTCAGCAGAGGTGCATTGAACAGATTTTCGCCATCACTGAAGACCTATGTTTTGATATCAACGAGAGACAGACATAACACTTTTTTTCTCAATATAAATTTGCGTCTGAATAAGATAGGAGAAGCTCCATAGCAAGTAAAACATTACCTGGTATTTTACGTGTCAAAAAAATGTCGGATAGACATGCTTTGAGAGGACTCTTTGTCTAACTGCCAATAATATTGCAGGGTTAATCGCCTACTGCAGGGTTTGACAAATTTGTTGAAATCTAAGAGCCATCTAAAGATGTTCGGTTCCACTATTTTTAAACTAACAGTTTCTTTTTCAACGAGAAAAACACAGTTCTTAAAGGGACACTATAGTCACCAGAACCACTACAGCTTAATGTAGTTGCTCTAGTCTCAACAGCCTGTTCCTGCAGGTTTTGCAATGTAAACACTGCCTTTTCTGTGCTAGCTAGTAACACCTCTAGTGACAGCCACAATGTGCAGCACCTACATTCAGAGTCTCCATGCTCTGTATGGAGGTGCTGAAGAATCCCCATAGAGTTGCACTGATTCAATGCATCTCTATGAGGATATGCTGATTGGTACAATGCAGTGTTTTGCTGCGAATGTGCAAAATCCTCCCAATATTTTCCTATGTAAAAGCATTGGCTTACCTGAGATCATAAAGATTGATGATCTCAGGCATGGAGGCGGGATCAGCCATACAGATATCGGCATGGCGTAGGAAAAATGGTGAGTAAAACACCTTTGTCATATAATTGGAGGGGGCACGTACCTAAACAGACACACACACTGACAGAGGCACACATACACACATTTTCTAACACACTCACAAGTTAACAAGTTTCTTTTAATCTATGTCCACCCAGCCTCCCTAATTTTGGCATAGCAGACTGGATATTTCTCTGGGGTCCAGTGGGGCTGATTTCTAATCTTCCCGCAGTTCCTTTCTACTCCCCTATGCGCTCTCTGTAGTGATGTCGGGGCCGGAGTGACTTCATATTTTGGCCCTCTGCACCACTAAACAGCGAGCGAGGGAGCAGGGAGGAACTGCAGGAAGATCACTGCTTCCTCACGAGTCACCTCCATGCTCACCAGGGTGGCCAGATTCAATACTCCCTCGGCCGGCCGCCTCCAGTGCTCCCCAGTGCTTCTAGTCACCATGGCATTAGATAACACTTTTGCCTCCAGACAGGCTACTATGCCTCTGGAGGGCATAAGCTGACATGGGCTATGTGACTGGGACTCTCTCTGACATTCATTTCTAGCTCTCTAGCAAGAATCAATGTTAAGCATTTGATATTATTGTTTTTTTCCCCCCTTTCATTACTGCTTTACCTGCTGAATCTCATGACTTTAAGTCTGCCTCTTATAAAGCCTTCAGGCATTTGTTCACCAACAATCCATCACAGGCACTTCTTATGTTGCGAACTCAATTGAACACGAGTATCAATATAATATAAAATATTGTGCAGATATCTAGTCATGCAATATTCGTTCTTCAGTGTCAATCGAATGCACAACTGTTTCTCCTTCACAAGGTGTTGATATCGTGTTATAGGTGAATAGGTGTGTGTGTATATATATATATATATACACACACACACACACACACACAGCTCAAAAAAAATAAAGGGAACACTTAAACAACATAATGTAACTCCAAGTCAATCACACTTCTTTGAAATCAATCTGTCCACTTAGGAAGCAACACTGAGTGACAATCAATTTCACATGCCGTTGTGCAAATGGGATAGACAAGAGGTGGAAATTATACGCAATTAGCAAGACACCCCCAATAAAGGAGTGGTTCGGAACTTCTCAGTTCCTATGCTTCCTGGCTGTTTTGGTCACTTTTGAATGCTGGCGGTGCTTTCACTCTAGTGGTAGCATGAGACGGAGTCTACAACCCTAGCAAGTGGCTCAGGTAGTGCAGCTCTTCCAAGATGGCACATCAATGCGAACTGTAGCAAGAAAGTTTGCTGTGACTGTCAAAGTGTCCAGAGCATGGAGCGCTACCAGGAGACAGGCCAGTACATCAGGAGACATAGAGGAGGCCGTAGGAGGGCAACAACCCAGAAGCAGGACCGCTACCTTCGCCTTTGTGCAAGGAGGAACAGGAGGAGCACTGCAAAATGACCTCCAGCAGGCCACAAATGTGCATGTGTCTGCTCAAACTGTCAGAAACAGACTCCATGAGGGTGGTGTGAGGACCAGACGTCCACAGGTGGGGGTTGTGCTTACAGCCCAACACCGTGCAGGATATTTGGCATTTGCCAGGGAACACCAAGATTGGCAAATTCGCCACTGGTGCCCTGTGCTCTTCACAGATGAAAGCAGGTCCACATTGAGCACATGTGACAGACGTGACAGAGTCTGGAGACGCCGTGGAGAACGTTCTACTGCCTGCAACATCCTCCAGCATGACCGGTTTGGCAGTGGGTCAGTAATGGTGTGGGGTGGCATTTCTTTGGGGGGGGGGCCGCACAGCCCTCCATGTGCTAGCTAGAGGTAGCCTGACTGCCATTAGGTACCGAGATGAGATCCTCAAACACCTTGTGAGACCATATGCTGGTGCGGTTGGCCCTGGGTTCCTCCTAATGCAAGACAATGCTACACCTCATGTGGCTGGAGTGTGTAAGCAGTTTCTGCAAGACGAAGGCATTGATGCCATGGACTGGCCCGCCCATTCCCCAGACCTGAATCCAATTGAGCACATCTGGGACATCATGTCTCGCTCCATTCACCAACGTCACGTTGCACCACAGACTATCCAGGAGTTGGCAGATGCTTTAGCCCAGGTCTGGGAGGAGATACCTCAGGAGACCATCCGCCACCTCATCAGGAACATGCACAGGCATTGTAGGGAGGTCATACAGGCACATAGAGGACACACACACTACTGAGCCTCATTTTGACTTGTTTTAAGGACATTATCTCAAAGTTGGATCAGCCTGTAGTGTGTTTTTCCACTTTAATTTTGAGTGTGACTCCAAATCCAGACCTCCATGAGTTGGAAAATTTGATTTCCATTTTTTAATTTTTGTGTGATTTTGTTGTCAGCACATTCAACTATGTAAAGAACAAAGTATTTCAGAACAATATTTAATTCTTTTAGATCTAGGATGTGTTATTTTTGTGTTCCCTTTATTTTTTTGAGCAGTGTGTGTGTGTGTGTGTGTGTGTGTGTATATATATACACACACATACGCGTGCGTGTGTGTGTATATACACACGCGCGTGTATGTGTATATAAATATTAGTAGAATTTAACACAAAAAAAATTAAATTATATTTCTGAAAAATACAGAGGGACCAGATTCTACATGCTTTTGAGAGCCATTGTGTTTGTCAAAACAAATAGACAAAAATAGACTGAGGCACCAAAACCCCATAACACCCTAACTGCTACAAAGAGCTGTACTGGTTATGGTGCTTAGAGGCAATAGACCACACATTTCCTCCTGAAGACTTTTTTAAATGTCAACTCTGGCCTCATCACACAGCATGGTGATGCCAAATGTGTTTAATGTTTTGCAGAGAAGCATTAGATTGGCAGAACACAGAGATTAACACACATTATTATTATTTTTTTATAAAGCACCAACAGGTTTTGTAGCGCTGTACAATGGGTGGACTAACAGACAAATATTTGTAACCAGAAGAGTTGGACACACAGGAACAGATGGATTGAGGGCCCTGCTCAATGAGCTTACATGCTAGAGGGAGTAGGATAATGTGACACAAAAGGTAAGGGTAGGGTAGAAAAGTAGGTTGCTCTGATAGTGTTCATTGAGGGCTTAGTGTTTTGTTTTGAGGACAGTTGCGGGAACGGAATCAGGGAGGGAAAGCTGTTCACAGCTTAATTGATATGCTTTCCTAAAGAAGTACGTTTTCAAAGATTTTTTGAAGGAGTGGAGATTGTTTGAAAGTCTAACAGAGAGGGGAAAGGCATTCCATAGGAACAGTGCAGCCCTAGAGATGTCTTTAAGGTGAGCATCAGAGGTAGGAATACGAACAGAAGTTAGACATAGGTCTCCAACAGAGCGTAGTGGCCTAGATGGGACATATTTGTGTATTAGTGAGGATAAGTAGGTGGGAGCAGCATTGTGTAGAGATTTGTAAGCAAGTATCAGAATCTTAAATTGAGTCCTATATCTTGTGCCCTGTGTCCTGAATGGTTCTCTATAAGAAGCATTGGACTATATAAAAGTAATCAGAATTTGTTACTTCACCAGAAGTAGAGCAGAAAAGATATTGTCCATGAGTAGTCTGAGTGACTGCCATTAGATGTGTTTCTAGGCAGCAGTGTTTACATTGTGTAGCACTGACGTTCAGCATCTCCATGCTCTGCATGGAGATGCTGAACATTGCCCATAGAGATGCATGGATTTAGAGTTGCATCTCCATGAGGAAATGCTGACTGGCACAGCAGGGCGTTCTGCCATGAATGTGCAATAGCTTATCAATGCTTTCCTATGGAAAACCTTTAGATTGGTTGAGATCATTAAAATTTTAAATTGGTAAACTCATCTTTCACTGCACAGACAGGAGGGCTGGGAAATTAAACAGCCACACCAGCACAATAGTGTCAGGAATAAAAGAGTTAGTGTTCCTGAAGCGCTATGAAACAACGTCCCCACACTTTGCGTGAGGACATCCAGCATCTTGTAAAACCCCATAATAAAACACTGATTCACTGCTATCCTACGGGGAATACCTAATGCGTGCAAAAGTGTTTAAGGGGTATAAAGTCTTATTGCAAGGGATTCAGAATACAGCTTTGTATTCCTAACCCCTATAGCATTCCTTTAGCTGGTTATGAGTGTCAGCTGGCAACTCTCGACATTTTAATATTGTTTAAACTTGGAGTGATAATGAGGAAATATGAATGCTTTAATAGACCAACTCAGACTCATATTTCCAAACCCACTACAACTTACTTTAATGCTTATGGTGCCTGAAGTGTCCCTTTAACATGCAACAGATTAGGGATTCGTAAAAGCTTAACAAAAATACATTTTGGAGTGAAGGTTGTCTTTTCATTAATCCGTGCAGACTCCATATAGTTTTCTACCCTAGGTACAGTGGTGCAAGTTGTGGAGATGAGGGCCGTTTTTGGAATCGAGTTTTTCTGATTGACCTGGAACTTCCCTGGACTCATCGCTTCTACATGCTGGTGAAAAATACATGGAAAGTGTTGACGTGTATGTGTAATTCACAAGCTTCATTAAAAACAAAAGCAGCAAAAAAATAAAATAATAATAAATAACTGATCAACGAAGAATTACACAGAATCTTTCCTGCTGTATATATGTACCTACATAGTCCAAGGCATCACTTTTCATAAGCTGCCCACCAGGAGAGAGAGTTGTGTTTTCCTGGGGGACATGGTGGCTCTGGCTGCCCTGGTTTGGAGGGGATGAGTGTGCAGTTATTATGGTATTTATATAGCGCCATCAAATTCCGCAGCGCTTTACAATGGGTGGACGAACAGACATGTAATTGTAACCAGACAACTTGGACACACAGGAACATAGAGGTTGAGGGCCCTGCTCAATGAGCTTACATGCTAGAGGGAGTGGGGTAAAATGACACAAAAAAGTAAGGGAAAAAAAAGTTCTCACACACAGCCTGCTGCAGGCCAGGCAGTCTCCATAGCAATCCTAGAACACAGGTAAGGGGGTATGGCCCTGCCTGGGGACCCTTCTATAGTAAACAAACAGCTCCCCGGCCTAGCAGCACACCAGCCGGCCTCACTTTGTACTGGAGCCCCAGGACCTGCCAGAGGCCTAGGTGAGAACCTGTCATCCCTGGCCTCCAGTACAATAAACCCCGGAAACCATCCCCAGCGTGCCTGCTGTGCCTCCCGTGCCCCGCCATACCTGCACTGGGCGGCCCTGGGCGATCTGGGGAGCTTTATCGTAGAGTCTTCTCAGCGTGAATCAGCCAGATTTCATTCAAAACCTCACACGACAAGCACTTCCGGGTAGTACGGGTAGTGACGTCAAACTACTTCCGCTCCGGCTGAGCAATTGGATTGCTTGTGAACGCACAGCTACGAGAATAGGGGCTCTCTACGAAGTTAGCGTAAGGCAGCTCGCTCTGAGCTCTGTGTCGTTGCTGCTGCTGCCGCTACTGTTTACTACGTTTCCCGTGATGCTTCGCTAGTCAATCGCTTGGCAGGGCATCACGGATGTTGTAGTTCTCAAAAACAACTCGAGTAACTTAGTAACTAGAGCTGGTAAATAGTTGTAAATGTACTGTACAACTAAGAGGCAATTCCAACAAATTTGGTTTCAGTAAAAAAATATATATATGTGTGTGTAATGACAAGACATAGTGATATTTATTTGGTAAATTCTCCTCTTATTGTTAAGCGCTGCGGAATAAGCTGGCGCTATATAAATACCAATAATAATAATAATTTTTGGAGGTAAATAATGTGATAAATAAAGTATTAGCAGTATATTATTACCTGAACTCGTGAGAATTCACAGGAAATTCAAAATTTTGGGCAAAACTCCCAAGTTTAGTTGTGTTGGAGAATTTTCCATTGTAGCCTAAAATTGGAAGCTGTCTTCCAGGGTTATTCACTAAAGTGTAAATTTTCAAGAATTTAAAGGGAGCTCAGTTGCAGATTTTCAGGTAAAATTGAACATTTGGAAGAATTTTTGGGTTCGGAGCTATGCGCAGCACATTAATTGCTTAGTGTGTACCAAGAGAAAACGACCGCCAAGTTTTAACTTACAAAAGTACTAGTTTTAAAAATGAGATATAAAAAACAAAAAAAACAACAAGCTCTAATAATCAGTTGTATGCCGGAATAATGATCAGTTTTTTCTTCTTCTAACGATAGCGTAACGCAAACTCTCGCAGAAGTAACCGCAGAGTCACTAAACTCTGAAATGTATTAAAGTGAGTCCTAAGTGGCAAAACTTAAACCAAACTTACTGTTTTGGAAAAATATTTTAATTTTTTCACAGTGTGCCTCTTTTAGTGTATATTTTATGACTGGATATTTCTGCATTTACTTCATTTACTTTTTAGTTAATAATCACCTTAGAATTAGCAATGTTTTGCTTTAGCCTAAAATTTTAACCCCTTAAGGACGGAGCCAAATGTACACATTGTGAACAAAACAAAATGTAAACAAAACCTGGCATTTGCGCTACATGTCTGTCCAACCGTAATACACCTCTTTCATAGTAAATGCACCCACCCTTATTATATATCATTTTATTCAGGGGAAACAGGGCTTTCATTTAATATCAAATATTTAGCTATGAAACATAATTTAATATGAAAAAAATGGGAGAAAATACGATTTTTTTGATTTTTTTAGTTCTAAATTGCATTTTAAAGGTCAGTGTCATAATACTGTTTGATTTTACTGCAATAAAATACACATATTTGTATTTAGTAAAGTCTCACGTGTAAGACAGTACCCCCTATGTACAGGTTTTATGGCGTTTTGGGAAGTTACAGGGTCAAATATAGCACGTTACATTTGAAATTGAAATTCGCCAGATTGGTTACGTTGCCTTTGAGACTGTATAGTAGCCCGGGAATGAAATTTACACCCATAATGGCATACCATTTGCAATAGTAGACAACCCAAGGTATTGCAAATGGGGTATGTCCAGTCTTTTTTAGTAGCCATTTGGTCACAAACACTGGCCAAAGTTAGCGTTAGTATTTGTTTGTGTGAAAAATGCAAAAAACGCCAATTTTGGCCAGTGTTTGTGACTAAGTGGCTACTAAAAAAGACTGGACATACCCCGTTTGCAATACCTTGGGTTGTCTACTATTGCAAATGGTATGCCATCATAGGGGTAATTTTCATTCTTGGGCTACCATAGGGTCTCAAAGGCAACGTAACCAATCTGGCGAATTTTAATGTGAAAAAAATGAAACGCAAGCCTTATATTTGATGCTGTAACTTTTGAAAACACCATAAAACCTGTACATGAGGGGTACTGTTGTACTCGGGAGACTTCGCTGAACACAAATATTTGTGTTTCAAAACAGTAAAAAGTATCACAGCAATAATATCGTCCGTGTAAGTGCTGTTTGTGCGTGAAAAATGCAAAAAACGTCACTTTTACTGGCGATATCATCGTTGTAATACATTTTACTGTTTTGAAACACTAATATTTGTGTTCAGCGAAGTCTCCCGAGTAGAACAGTACCCCCCATGTACAGGTTTTATGGTGTCTCGGAAAGTTATAGGGTTAAATATAGTGCTAGCAAATTAAATTCCCTTTACTTTCGGCATGGGTTGTCAGGCAGGTCCTGCTAATTGTAATTAATTAAGATACCTAATTATGTAAAAATATTACATAAATATATATGTAGAATTAATATATGTATATATATACGTATGTGTATATATATGTATATATCTATATAATTTTTTTTAAATATTTTTATTTATATATAGGTATATATATAGTGATATATACGTATATATTTATGTATATAGATATATATATTATTTCGTTCTACGTGTATTTTGATATATATATATATATTAATTTCACAAAACAGTTAGAACGAAATAACACACATCTATATATTTTTAATTATTTATTTTTAATTATTTTTTTAATTTTATTTTTTAACGTATTTACATTTTTATTTTTTTTATATTATATATAAATATATATATAACAATAATTATATATATATTTAATCAGTATCAGTCTACGTGTAATTTGATATTAATATATATATATAATTATATATATATTAATAGTAAAATACACCTAGACGGTGTATGTGTGTGTATGTATATGTGTATATATATACTTAGATCATATATATATAATATATACATATGATCTAAGTATATATAATTATTTTTTTTTACACCATTAACTTATTTTTATTTTATTTTCAGCCAGCAGGGGGACCACCTGTCATTACAGGCAGCCCCCCTGCCGGCAATACAGAAGCCAGCTATCCCCGGCCATGTGATTGTGGGGTCCTCGCTAGGACCCCACTCTCACATGGCCGGGGGGCTTCAACGAGGACGGATGTGCCGCGGGGGGCTCCCTGGGAGTCCCCCCCACCGCGATCGCCGGCGTGGGACCGCCGGCGACCGGGTAAGTTAACAAAACCGGAGGGCGTACAATTACGCCCGGCGGCGTTTAGAGCCGCCTATTAGAGGGCGTAATTGTACGTCCTCCGGTTTTAAGGGGTTAAATTCCTTTTGAATTCCCCAAAATTCTCACTTTAGTAAATAACCCTGTCTATATGAATTCAGCAATTAATTCATACATTGAATTCAACTTAAAGGGACACTCCAGACCCGTAAAGCACTTTACCTTGTAGAAGTGAAGATAATGTTTATACATTTTAGGTTTTATAGGTAATAAATTAACCTTGTTACACCTACCCCAGCTGTCAGCCAGACAACCTGTCCTGTTACTTCCTGGTTTGTCTAGCTCAGAGGAGAACCGGTTTTCAGAGTAGCACCAGTCTTACAAACAATTGTCATTAAAGGAACACTGTAGGCACTTTAACAACTTCATCTTATTGAACTTGTTGTAGTGCCTGTAGTCTTGCTCACCTCTTGCAGTGTCACATGCACAAAGTCAGACACACAGTCAGATGCACACAGTTATACACATTTACTGTCAAATATAGCTACATGCACAAAGACTCAGCATAGTCACTAGCACACAGTCACACACAGTTACAGTCTTTTAAGTCGCAACACAGGCAGTCACAATCAGTTACAGGCAGACAGTCACACAGACACACTGTTACGGGCAGAAAGTCTTACGCACACAGTTACAGGCAGAAAGTCACACACAGTTACAGTCAGCCACATACAGTCACAGGCAGACAGTTAGAGACAGTCACACATACACACACACAGTTACAGGCAGACAGTCACATACATAGTCACAGGCAGTCACACACACTGGCAGACAGTCTCAAACACACACACAAAGTCACAGGCAGACAGTCTCACTCACTATCAGGACCTCGCTCCCACACTCCCCTACCTCGTGCTCCAACACCGCGTCTCCCACTCACTCCATGAGGACAATATGTCGGAGCGTGACTCTCCAGACAGCGTGGTCCGCTCAGCCATCCACGCCGACTGCTCACGTTGAAACGACCGCCACCTCTGTTCGTGCGAACGCCACTTACTGAACACTGCAAGACAGGAGGCCGAACTCTGTTCGCGCCAACGCCCCCACTTCCCATACGTGGGTACACAGGTCTTCAGGTGAATCATGTGCGTGCCGAAAGGTACAGGAGGTGGAGAACAGGGAGGAGCTACAGTAGACAAGACCACCCACTCTCCCTATTTAAACCCCACACACCCTTGACTCCTCACTCAGTTGTGCTGTGCTCCTGATTGTGTAAAGACCTTCAGTGACTGATCTGCCATATCCTGATTTTGACCCTTGCATGTACTATCGCTTCTGAACCTGTGCCACCTGTCCTGACCTTTGGCTTCCCCGACTACTCTCTCCGTTTGATCCTTTTATACTGCGAACTTGGTCCATTTCTTTCAGCGCACCTCTGCATCTTGGGCTTGGTCTACTAAACAGTTATTCCGACACACACACAAACACACACAAAGTCACAGGCAGCCATATAAGACACAGGCAGACAGTCACACACACAGCCAAAATACAATTAAAGGAACAGTGCTTGCACAAGCAAAAATACAGTTTTACATGTAACAAGGCTACTTAAAATCATCTCATTCAATTCAGTTCCACCATATGGCCATATTGTGTTAAGCACACCACTACGTCAATATAGCTGGGTCCTACATGAATTTTAACATGGGAGATTTACATACACACACAGTCAAGGCAGACAGTCACACACACACACACACACACACACACAGTTACAGGCAGACAGTCTATTACATACACAGTTACAAGGCTACTTAAAATCATCTATCCTAGCAAATGAATATGGGAATTCAGTTCCACCATATGGCCATATTGTGTTAAGCACACCACTACGTCAATATAGCTGGGTCCTATACTAATTTTAACATGGGAGATTTACATACACACACAGT